AAAAATAATAATAAATTTTTTTTTATTTTTTTAATTTAATATTTATTTAATTTAATAATTTAATAATTCAATTGAAAATAATTTTAATTCAACAATTTAATAAAAAATAATTTTAATTCAATAATTTAGATCAAAGTCAATTTTAATTCAATGCTAAATATAATTCAAGTTGAAGTCAATTTCAATATAAGTCAAAGTCAATTTTAATCAAAATTAATGCTAATTTCAATTCAAGTCAAAGCCAATTTCAATTCAAGTCAATGCAAATTTCAATTCAAGTCAAAGTCAATTTCAATCAAAGTCAAAGCCAATTTTAATCTAAGTCAAAGCCAATTTCAATCAAAGTCAAAGTCAATTTTAATCCAATTCAAAACAAATTTCAATCCAATTCAAAGCCAATTTCAATTAAAGTCAAAGCCAATTTCAATCCAATTCAAAGTCAATTTTAATCCAAGATGAAGTCAATTTCAATCCAAATTAATGCCAATTTTAATCCAAGTCAACAATTTCAATCCAATTCAAAGCCAATTTCAATCCAAGTCAAGATTAATTTCAATACAAGTCAAGGTCAATTTCAAAAAGTAAAATAAAATCAATTTCAATCAAGTAAAAATCAATTTCAATTTATTCAAATTAAGGTTAATTTTAATTAAATAATTAAATAATTAAATAATTGAATAAATAAAAATAAAATTTAATTTAATATTATGTCTAGCTTATTTTCCATTTAGTTTATGATCCCGTTGAATTGCTAAAAAAGAAAATATTAAATATTAATATAATTATGTTATTAGTAAATTTTTATTGTTTATAATTCAGAAATTAATGCAATCTTAACATTTTTGTAGAAAATCGTATTAGAAAATCTTTTATTAAATATACACATTAATATTAATAAATATTTTTGTAATATATGTATACCTTTCTTTCTATTATTTCTTCTTTTCTTTTTTTTTTTTTTTTTATATCTTTTTTTGCTTTTTATTCCTATTTTTTTGTCGTCTTTTTACTTTGTATTGAATAAAATTTTTTCTTTCTCTTTCTTTCTTTGTCTTCTTTAATTTTGAAACTTTAAGCATAAATATATATAAATATATAAACATATACAAAAAAGTAAATTTATTAATACATATAAATATAACTCGTAATATTAAAAGGCTATGGAGCCGTACGCGGATGTTGGACTTTTCGTTGGAATCGACGCACCAACATCCGCGTACGGCTCCATAGCCTTTATATTACGAGTTATATTTAATATTAGGACTCCTAATATAGGAGCCTTAAAAATTTGTATTATTAATATAAATTTAAATGTTTACTTAATTAAATAAATACCTTATTTTTTATCATTTTCTCTTCTTTTCTTTTTTTCTTATTATATATTATTTGTTTCTTTTTTTGTTTTTTAGCGTCTTATTCGCACTTTCAATTAAATAAATTATGTTTTTTTCAATTCTTTGTTTTCTTTAACTTTGAAATCTTAAGCAGAGGATATATAGCATATTTAAACATTGTATAAAAGAATAAAGTAATTACGAAAGAGATAAGGGACTGTAAATATTTGTATCTTATTATTTGTATTTTTTTATTTTGTATTTGTATTTGTATATTTTGGTGCGCAAAACATAAATTTATAAATTAAAATTGTCGCTCTCAATTGAAAAAAAATTATTATAAATACTAAAGCTAATAGTTGTGTGGTTAGAATATTTGTCATCTTAATATAGGTTTAGACACACAATTCAATATACTAACTATCCTCTGCTTTAAAAATCTTACATTATTATATTCTTTGATAAAAATGCAGTTATGATTGTGTATATATGTGTATGTGTGTGTGTGATATATTGTAAGAGATATTAATTAAATGGTTAAAAAAAATAAAAGAATTTATGCTTTATTTTAAAGCAGAGAATAATTGATACATTGAAATGTAATTAATAACTTTTTTATTAATTGAAAGCAGCAATTTTATCTTGTAGATTCGTGTTTTACGCACCAAAATACACAAAATTGTGAAATTTTAATCAAATCGATGAGAAAACTCTCCTTCATAATTACCAAGAGTAACAGATATATGTTTTATTATTTTTATTATATATTGTTATTATATATATATATATACCTTTTGTTCCTTCTTCTCTTCTTTTCCTCTTTTTGATATATTTTTATATTCTTCTCTTTCTATCTTTGTTTTTTTGATATCTTTTTCTATTTTGAAACTGCATAAAATACATAATACAAAAATATTAGGTTGTTCGGAAAGTTCGTTTCAAGTTTTATAAATTTGAGCGCGGTGAAACGGACTTGTGCAAAGTATCGGCGGGTTCTCTAATGATTACTCGAGGATTTTTGTGCACAAGATCTTTAAGAAGCGTTTCATCAATCTTATAAGATCGACCAGAGCAAGCTTGATTTTCTATATTAAAATCGCCAATTTCGACTCTTCGATATCAGTTGCGAATTATGTGAATGACACAGGCACTCTACACATATAAAGAGAACCTGAATGAGATGTTTTCTATATATGTATAGAATGTCTGCGTCATTCAGACAGTTCGCAACTTGTATCGAAGAGTCGAAGTTGGTGATTTTAATATAGAAGATCAAGCTTGCTCTGGTCGATCTCATGAGATTAATGAAACGCTTCTTAAAGATCTCGTGCACAAAAATCCTCGAGAAACCATTAGAGAACTCGCCAACACTTTGCACAAGCTGTTTCCACCGCGCTCAAATTTATATAGAAAATTTGAAGTTAAAATTGTCGCTCTCAATTGGAAAAAAATATTATAAATACTAAAGCTAATAGTTGTGTAGTTAGTTAGATATTTATTATATTAATATAGATTTAGACACACAATTCAACATACCAACTATTCTCTGCTTTAAAAAAACTTACATTATTATTTTCTTTGATAAATATGCAGTTTTATTGTGTGATTATGTGTTGTGTGTGTGTGTGAACTATATTGTAATATATTGAATTTAATGGTTAAAAAAAAATAATTTATGCTTTTTTTTAGAGTAGAGAATAATTGGTACACTGAAAGTAATTAATAACTTTTTTATTAATATGAAAGCAGTAATTTAACTTGTAGATTCGTGTTTTACGCACTATTTATAAAATAATTAAAATGCACAAAATTGCGAAATTTCAATGAAATCGATAAGGAAGCCTCTCTTCTTCATAATTACCAAGAGTAAACAAATATATTTTAAATATTTTCGTTATATATATATATATATATATATATATATACCTCTTATTCTTTATTGTTCCTTCTTCTCTTCTTTTTTTTCAATATATTTCTATATTTTTTCTCTTTCTCTCTTTGTTTTTTAATATCTTCTTACTTTTTCTAATAAAATTTTATACTTATTTTTTTCTTTAATTATATTTTCTTTATAGACATAATATTGTGAAAACTTTTGTGAAATATTATGATATATGTATGAAGTAAGTCATGAACAAGACACACGAGATGACCTTAGAACAAATAAATTTATAGAAAGGAAATAGTATATATTTTTCTAAAAAAAAATTATTCAAAAATAATTGTACAAAAGAAAAAGTATAGTAATGCCTATTCATCTATATAAATATGCGTTAACTTGGTAGATATGAATAATAGTTCAAAATTTCTTGGTTAAAATAGATAATTGTTTTCATATTTTCGATATTAAATAAAGTAGGTATAATTAATCTGAGATCATAAATATAGAAATATTCCTATGTCTATGTCTAAGATCGATTAATAATATATTTCACCAATCATAATCCTTTATTCTTCAGAGAAATGGTTTGTGATTGGCCATATTTCAGATAGTTTTAAAACAAAGCGGATCCATTGTTTCAAATAAATGATTTATTTAAACTTATTCAACTAAATATTAGTTGAATTTAAATAATCTTTTTTCAGTGTGTAATACAATGTATTTTATGAAATAAAATTAAATTTTATGAGAATGTTTCGTAAACATATTGCATTATTGCATATATTCTTCTAGAGACTATACAGTATGCTGTATCAATTTTTTCCAAACTTTGACATTAACTAAAATATATTATTTCAATAATGTTGAAAATAGATGTCACCACTCGTTACATAAATAATGATGTTTCAAATATGATGTTATATGTAATACAATGTACTTTATGAAATAAAATTAAATTTTATGTAGAATGTTTTTGTAAGCATATTGCATTATCACAATTGATAGGATTTTAATTAAATAATTAAGCAAATTTATCTATTTATAAAATAATTAAGAGAAAAAGATATAATATCATTTTACTTCAGTACTCTCTAGCCAAAATTTATGATACATTAAACTAATTATTATGTCGAAATAGGCTATCTTTTTGCTTACTCCTGAGTAAATTAAAACATAAAAAACAGAGATCGATAATATTAAAAAGAAAAAGAATCCTTCGATTTGCAAAATTTAATTTTTTATTTTACATCTGCATAGAAAGTATGAATGATGATTAATAAACGACTAATCCTGTAGTTTGAAATCTGATTTAAATATAATTATTGTACTCGATATCTCGGCCATATTAAAATTAAATATGAATAATATCTACATTCTTGCAATATATAATAATACAACATATGATATACACAATAATTAAGTACAAAAATATCCTATAAATTGTCGTAATGCAATTGCTTACGAAAACATTTTACATAAAATTTAATTTTATTTCATAAAATACATTATAATACATAACATCATTTTTGAAAAACCATTACTTATGTAACGAATGGTGACATTTATTTTTAACATCATTGAAATAATTATATTTTACTTAATGTCAAAGTTCGATAAAAAATTGATACTTGATACTATATATAGTTTCTTGAAGAGTATATAAATAATACTTTCAAAATATTATAACGTTTTAAATAACACGAAAGTGAAACTAATTATAACCAAACATTGTGAACGCGTTAAAAAAAATTTTTTTAAATATTAGAATTATTTTCACATATTATTTAATAAAATGGAAAAGAATCATTATTTCGAATCATTTTGCGTGGTGGTAATCCTAAATCTTCATTGGATGTTTTTTTTACAATTGGTCTTGTACCCAACAATAATTGTTGAAATGATAACTTTTCCTCTCCTATTTGCTTTATGTCTGTTGAATGATCAATCTCCAAATAAAATACGTCATCTAAATGATAAAATTATAATATTAATGACAGTTATATAGTAATATATTTTTGGAAATTTTAAAACTTTTTCACATAGCTTACTCATAATTTTTACATATCCTTTCATTTCAATCATTTGCCCCTTGTCAAAGTAGACATCATTATCATAATTTACTATTTGTATCTCCAATTTATACATCTTATCTGTAATGGATCCGCAGCCAATTGTTTTAAAACTATTTAGAAATTTATTAAAATTCGTTTTAATGTATCCACGTATAACTGAAAAAAATTTTATTAAATTTTAGTTTATCACAAGATTCATCTTTAGTTCATCAATATCATTTTTAGTTTATCACTGTATTATAACGAATTGACTTATAGAAATATTTAAATCTCATAATTATAAAAATCAAACAGTATAAAATAAGAAATTATGTAAAAATATGTATATAAAAGATTATAAAAGCATATAGTTACATATTTATACGTACGTTTGCATACAAATGTTTATCGATATATAAGAAATACCGGATTTTAGTATAAAGTATATTATATACATATAAAAACACTTACTAATGCATGCATTAAGATGTTGAGGTACATCACACAATTCCACTAATTGTGGTTGCACCGCTTGAATGTTTTTTTTTAGGTCAAAATTACCCAACGTATTTATTGTCGTGTTGGATCGAATAATTAGTTCGTATTGAAGTGTCCCTTGGTTGAATTCAGGTATTTTTACCTTTTTAGCTTAGCACCATCAATATGCACAATCTGCAAAATTAACAAAAATTATTAAAATTAAATATGTATATTAATTTAATATTATTCTAATACTACTGTTTTATATGTACTTTATTGGAAT